ATCTGAAGGCAAAAAGAATGTCCATGGGGAGCAAGACAGGTGACAAACAATTGCAATATATGTTTATGTATTGTATATATGTATGTACACCTATGCACACAGACTCACACAGACTCTATGTAGCATTCAAAGAAAAGTTATTTCATCAGGGCAAAGTGTTCCTAAGAAAATCCATATGGATTTGTTATTTGGAAATGCCTAGAAGCCTGTGGACAAATGATGAATGGATCAGTTCAGATTAGTGTTTAGAATTCACCCTTTCAAGCCTGACACACACATTGCCCATGCTGCAACTGAGGCTGATGGCTTGGATATCGGTTGAACATGGCATCTACTCCAGGTTGTAGTTTGGAATTTAAAGGAGCTATCCAAGGCACCAAGTCTAATTGGGGAACTGTGTTCCAGGAGAGGTGATTCATCCTTTGAGGTGGGCACGAAAAGGGTAGTCTTGGTAGTCTAGAGGGCCAGAAACACAGCTTTAGGGTGCTGTATGTGCTGTATGCACTTCACCAACCCATGCTTTAGTCCAAGAAAATGTCCTTTGGCTGGCACTGGTCTTCCAGGGAGCCACTACAGACAGAGAAGTCTCAGAGCGTGTAGCCACAATGCAGAATTAAAGCAGTTTGACACCACTTTATCTGCCATGACTGTTTCTTACAGAATCCTGGGATTTGTAGTTTGATGAACTATTTAGCCTGATCTGTTAGAGTGTCCTGATGCCTCACCAAACTACTAATCCCAGGATTCTCTAGAACAGAGTCATGGCAATTAAAGTGGTGCCAAACTGGTTTAATTCTGCAGTATGGCTACATCCTCTGTTTCAGACACCTATCCTGTACATGGGGTCATTCAGACATTTTTTTTTTTTTTTTTTAGCACGACGATGCAAATCATCTCACTCACACATTCTGGGTTTGTTATTCACACAATGGAATTGCGTTGATGTGCATCTCTGTTACTCACACATGAAAGGTTTCAAATAAAGATGGAGTCGACAATGCAAATATATTCGAAACACGTTCAAGGCATATAGAGTTTTATCCTGGATGTATTCAGGTCTATTCGCATTGGTTATTCACACTGCTGACAATGCAGATCTTTGTTAAAAACTGGGGGCAAAACCCAATATCATTTATCTCGGATTAAGTGGTTTTTTTAACAGCCCCCCTCAATTTAATTGTGTGCATTCGGGGTTCATGTGAACAATGGAGATTCAGCCCATATTCATCCTGGATTATTTTCACAATGAGAATAATTCCCATGTGGATGGCAAAGAGGATGATGAAGAACAGGGTGACACTGGCATGCTTGTCCCTGTTCCCTCCACTTTCATGTCAAGGCTCTATACAATAAGAAAGACTTGCATTTCCTTTGCCATCAATTGTGAATTCATGTTCCTGTTTTCTCAGCCCACTCCTAACTTTACTGAGTTGTCCCCTTCCAAACTCTGCATCTAAAGATGATTTTTCGGAGCCCATCGCTGGCAGACCACTTACCCTCCATCATTTCATGGATGAAAACCAGGACCAGGCAACATCAGAATATGGTAAAAATGGCAAAAGTTATTGAAAGACGAAGAACAGAAAAGCTAGGAGAAGCTACAGCAGTTTACTTTTACCTGAGTCTAGCAACATGTGGGAAGAGTAAGATTTCACCCTCTTTTCTGCTCTTCCCCCTGCTGAGCTAATTCGACGCAAATTAATTTTGTACTTCAAAATCAGTTTGCAGCAACCGAAGTAAGCTGATGTCAAAGTGGGAAAGTGGGAGGAGGATATTGAAACTGGGGCATTTTAAAAACAGCTGAGAAAAGTGGGACAACCAAGGATTTATTGGGATTGTACCTGCCAAACTGGGACAGTTGGAAGGTGAGATATTCTCTATTGTGCTGTGCAAAGATCTATCTTGAATTTCATTCCCAGATGATGTAGAACTACTGAGCCACAGGACTGAAGCATGAAAGCAACCATTGGGGATGATTTGTCTGATGTACTGGAGACATTCTGTCTTTGCCAGGAAGACTGAATGACATTAGGAATAGCACATTTATTTGTGAAAGGCTGATATTTCATGCTCAGCTGTGCCTTGCTTGCCTAGTATTTGTTTATGAGTAGCACTGTCCTGCTTATAGCATTTTCCAAAGGGTCACCTTATTAGTTTCTTTTAGCCCCTCTCCCAAAAAACAGGGTCCTGTTCACCTTTAAAAATAATACATTTATTATTGCATGTGTTTTCCTGGTATAGACATCTTTCTGCATGTGGCATATGAAAGTTCATCCTATAATAATATGTTAGTCTTAAAAGTGCCACAGGACTCCTTGTTTTTCAATTTGTGTTTCTGAAATTAATTAGCCATGCAAAAATTTAAAAGCATCTTTGGTGTATTTCCCTTTTTTTGGGGGGGGGGGGAAGGCAAAAAAATGGGTGCAATGTTAAACAAAATATAAATATATTTTAAAATTCCCTGTCCTCAAGCACATCATTCTACAAGGCATTTTTTTTTATTTTACAGTTTATTAAAAGCTTCCTTTGCAGTACGAATCCCAATGTTTGACTTGCAGAAGCAAAGGGCAAAAGTTGCATTTTCAGGCAGTGCCCCCAGTTTGTGGTCTGTCTTTTCACAGGGCAAGATAAACAGGAGCTAAAAAAAGAAAAAAGGAGTTAGCATTTTGTTCCTAAAATAAATCCTGTGGAAACAATATGTTCACAATGCCTCCATTTACATTCTAGAATGTCCATTCCTGAGTAGGGACTTTGTATTCAAAAAGTGGCTCTTTGGACCTGCAGCTCACTGTCGCTCAGATGTCTAGCTCCAAGTCATTTAGGATGCCATATATATTTCTCAGGGCTGATATACTATAATCTACTCTAATGCCAACAAACGTTAAGAGACAATCATGTCAGGAGAACCTTGTTAGATGAAAAGGGATAGGAATCATGTGGCCTTCCAGTTGTTGTTGGATTGAAACTCCCAGCAGTCCTACCCAGCAAAGCCAATGAATGTTTGGAACTGCAGTCCTTCACTATCAGGAGGGCACGGTAATAGCATTTTGATGGCTTCATCCTATAGATTCCTAGGATTTTTACTTTGATGAGGTTCTTTGAATTTCTTGATGGAGAACTCTAGTCCATATTCTACTGAATTATAGCACTAGCGGTCTGTAGCATAGTGTTCTACATACCCCAACTACAAATTCCAGATTACTATATGATGGAGCCATGATAGTTAAAGCCAGCTCAAAGTGCTATAGTTGTGTTGCATGGACACATCCATGTGACAAGGCCCCCCTGATATTCTTGCAAAAAAGCTAGTAAAATGAGGGTTAGACAATGCAAATGAGGTGGATTTGTAATTGACTGATTGGCCTGAGAGTCACATTGTCAAGCCCACATTTTACTAGCTTTTTTGCAAGAATATCACAGGGACCTTGTCAAAGGCCTTACTAAAAAAAAAAAAAAAAGAACAAAAAAGATAAGCTACATACAGAGCATTCCCTTCATCTACGAAGCTTGTAACTCCTATCAGAAAAAGAGATAAGATTTGGTATGACTTGTTCTTGAGAAACCCATGTCATCTTTTAGTAATCATAGCAGTCCTTTCTAAGTGCTTAGAATGTTTGTTGAATGATCCGCTCTAGAACCTTTCCTGGTATTGATGTCAGGCTGATTGGCTGGTTATTATTTGGGGCCTCTTCTTCTTCTTCTTCTTCTTCTTTTGAAGAAGTAGTCTTTTGTGCTTTTCAGCAGAGGATGTTCAGGTACCTCCACCACCAGCAACCAGGGGAAGGCCTGTAGTTCCCATGCCAGTAGGTTGGTTGAAACACTCCAGATTTTTACTCCAGCCATTAAAGATGCTATATAAACTGTTCAACTGATTTTGGGGATGGAGCTCAACACCTTGCCTTATGAACTCTTTAAATTTGGACTGGATTCAGTGCCTTCCTGACATGTGAGGCACCATCCGTTACTGAGAAGCAGAATCTTTAGATTTGTATGGTGATAGGGTGACCAGATGTTCCAACTACAAAGGATGACAAGGCACTGCAACATGTAGGAAATTCAAGAAAATGGGACATGACAAAATAAAAGCTAGAAACACTTATATAAATATAAAATCATGCTTCTTAGTCATGCTCAGAATGACATTTTGGAATTTCTTCTGGACAAAAGGCTGAAGTGTAGGATATGTCCTGGAAAAGAAGGATGTCTGGTCACCCTGGGTAATAGTAAATTGGTATGTAAGGTAAGAGTGATGTTTTCACTGCCTCACAATTGCTGCACCATTAATCAAGGATAGAGCTTGCTTGGTAGTGGTACCATAAATCTGAAATGCACTCCCAGAGGTGGTCTAACTGGCACATTCCTTTTCTTCTTTTGCTGCTTTTGAACAGGATATAAAGATGTTCTTTTGCTTGTTTGTTTAGAAAGATGTTTGATGAGCAATTTCTCTCTGCTGATTTTAGTATATATTGTTTTATTGCTGCTTTAGCTTTCTTTCTAAATCAGCAGTACTTTATGTGCATTTTTAGGGAGAAAAGTGGATAAGCACAAGATGATGTTTGCTTTTTAGTATGTGTTTTGTATTTTTGTATATGATATATATATATATATATATATAT